TGAGTCATTTCAGTTACTATAAACAAGCTTCTCCTCTCCTTCTTGATATGTAAGCAAGAGCTGTCACCATTGCTTGACCAGACAGAGGTACAAAATACGGAAATACCTCCGTTGTATAACAACTGTATTCAAGTGCCCATTGTTGATACAATCAATTAACAGATGACTGCTTTTAGTTTTTGATACGCTCTTTTGCGAGATTGTGCTTTCTTGGAGATGATGTCGAACCATGGCTGATTTCATCTCACGGTGACAGAGGAAAACACTTTGGTTCAAAATTGTGCAGCGTTTTCATTCTTCTATTCAAAATGTACCGGCCCTTGTCACCGCTCTGCGACTCCCATTTCGGAGTGCCATAAATCTCTCATTGCCCTTTCTGCATCATATCCGTAAGCCCACAACTGCGTCACAGGGTCGCTCCATTGATTAGTACTCTCGAGGAAATGTTCCCCCTTGACCTCGGCGCTCATGCCACGGTCTCGCGCCTGCTGCTCCGGTCCATCCGGGAAATGCCATAGCTCCCCATTGACAAGGCTGGCGGACTGCATCCCGCCACTCCGTTTCATTCGCTCCTTTTCATAGAGTTTGAGAGCTATTGGGATTTCCTCTTTTGACTGTATCAGTGAAAGAACCTCGGCAAGGGCAGCACCGTCTTCCACGGCCATTGCTGCGCCTTGTGACATATAAGGCACCATGGCATGGGCCGCATCACCTAACAATACGACCTTCTGGCTTTTTGATAGCCACGTGGGCAAACGTGATCCGCTTAACAGCGGCCATTTGATTGTCTTCTTGATAAGATTAATCACCTTCCTTAGCCTGTAATACCTGTTAGCCGTATACAAACTTGATTGCGTTGGAGAAGATGGCACTACTTTGGATCCCAGTCCTGAAAATACTCCTTCATCTCTGATATTGCGTTCTCCGGCTTCCAAGTGGCTGGGTCGCTATTGTCGACATGGGATAAGACCATGTTAAATGTCTTGCCTCCGGCAATACAATATGTCATAACATGGCGGTCCTCACCAATCCTATGCGACTATAAGTCTCTGCACTTGCTTTCATGGGACACTCGTACGTACCAAATATTGAGGCGGGGCCTTTCTAGCATCCATGCTATATCCGGGTCCCCCTGCATCTCCTCCGTGTTGACCACGGCTCGATATGCTGCAAATCCTGTCCTCTTCGCCGGCATATCTTCACCCCCGAGTACTACTGCTCGTGCAATTGATTTCACTCCATCGGCAGCAAGGATAATGTCCGCAGAATACTCCCGGCCATCTGCTGTCTTTATTGATGGCAGAGTCTCATCATAACTCACGACTTGGCTGTTCGTCACAATTTTCACGCCTAGGTGGACCGCAAGTGTACATAATGCCTCGTGAAAGTGGGCACGGTGTATGACAAAGTAGGGAGCGTCATATGTTTCTCGGAAATTCGGCACGAGCTTTGTATACGCAATAGCTTCGCCAGTCTGCCATCTGCGAAATGTCATGTCCTCTGGCTCGACGACACGGTCCTTAAAGTACGGTCCTATTCCCCATGATAGAAGAAGGCGGGCTGAGTTCGACGGAATCTGGATACCAGCCCCGACCTGGGTTTGCCATGTGGAGTCAGTGACACGCCTTGACCGCTTCCTAGGCACTGGCTAAGTTGATCATACCTCTCCCAGAACAGCGGCCTGCTCCAAAACTGTCACTTCATGCCCGCGACGGGCGAGTGCTACTGCAGTGGCTAGCCCTCCTAGCCCGGCACCAACAACTACGATGCGCAAAGGAACCGTAGCTTTACAGACGAGTTCGTGTTTCAAGCTGATAGTCCCTTGAAGCTTTTTGAGAAGTTCCGTTGATCGGGATGGATATTCGAAGGACTAAGCGTAAAGGTAGACGAATCTCATTTAGTCTCGTAGCCGCTTCAGTGTGAGTTTGAGGGTTCCAGGATAACTTACAGGCTCTAAGTGGCGTACCGGCTCCAACCCCGACGACCTATTCTCATCGCGCATTGTTACAATGATAGTACAGATTTAGAACAAACACAGATGTTACAATAATCATTTGAAACAAGCGCTTTGCTACAGGCAGGTTCAATGTCCACCCTTTGGTAGACTTGTCAGGCTGCATTTGTAAGCTGATGCACGCACTCTCAAGTTCTTCCTTTCGGGACCCTCCCGGTGGATCCCCGGAATTAAACATCGTCGATAAGGTTCACCGTTTGTGTGGGACAAATATGTCAGGGATGACTTCACAATAGTATCAAATGATCAGGATGGCCACGTAGGCCGGGGGTATCTCGGGAGCTATCCGGTACCGTGGCGTTTTCTTTGCTCCCTCCGCATGAAAAGGAGATTGAAGCGGATAATAACGGGTGAACCCAGCCATGTTGGGACAATTTAATAGAAAAGCGCAAATGACTATTCTCTTTGCAGCTCGAGCCAGCAACCTTGTCTCGTCGTAATATCAACCAAAATATTGAGTCTGGCGTAAAGATGCCGTCCGCAACTGAGATGAATGGCAAAAGCCTCCATGTCAATGGGAACAGCAAGCATGGTGAAATTGAAACAGCGGAACAGCTCCTGGAAGCAATTAAACCCACGAACACTAGCCCTCTCTGGGCGCAGATGCAGCGGCTTAACCCACCTGCCCCAAACCCTCAGACTGTCCCATATCTTTGGTCTTATGATCTCATACGTCCTTACCTACTTCGTGCTGGTGACCTAATCACTGAGAAGCAGGCCGAGCGTCGAGTCCTCATGCTCGCCAATCCTGCTCGAGGTATGGATACAAAACAGAATTCCTAAGCACCTCATCTGCTCTAACATCAAGCCACAGCTGCTCCCTACACTACTGATACCCTCTATGCCGGCCTTCAGCTTGTGCGGCCTCGTGAGACCGCACCGGCTCACAGACATACAGCTTTTGCCTGTCGTTTCATCATCGAAGGTCAAGGAGGGTTTACTGCCGTACATGGTCAGAGAGTGCCGATGCGGCCCCGGGATGTCATCGTGACGCCGACCTGGAATTGGCACGATCACGGCAAAAAAGGACAGGACGAGGAGGGCGGCGATGATGCGCCTGTTATCTGGCTCGACGGGCTGGATTTACCTAGCTTCATCCATTTCCCGGTGCACTTTGTCGAGCACTACGCATCTCCCCGGTATCCGGCAGAGGATGTTGATGACAGCTCAGTCGTTTTCCCTTGGGATAAGATGCAGAAGCAACTTGATGCTAGTAAAGAAGACTGGGTGTCCAAACCGTACTTAAAGGAGGACGGTAGGGAAAGTAAGTAACTCCTTTGCTCATTCCCGCGCCTGCGTGGTTATCACATAAAACACATGGGCATTTGACAGTAGCCACTTGATAGCTAACATTCTCTTAGTTGGAAGAGTGATCGGTGCTTCTGCGGAAAGGCTCAATCCAGGCGCATCATCGCCGAGGATCTGCGAAACCGCGTCTTCCGTGTATCACGTCATTGAAGGATCAGGCTCTAGTGACATCGGTGGCACCACGCTCAAGTGGAAACAAGGTGATACTTTCTGCATCCCTGCTTGGCAGAGTTATCAACACTCCGCCGACGGAGGAGGAGTAGCATACTTGTATCGCTTCGATGACAAACCGATGCTCAAGTCTCTGGGCTTTTATCGCGTTGACGGTGTGGATGTCGAGAAATATGTCTCTGACTGAGCAATCATTAGTACGAAAGACCACTAGGCTATGTCAAATGCTTGATCGTGTAGACTTATGTGCTTCAAGAATATTTTCCCTTTAGCGTTCAGATTCGGTTGTTGCTAGCTCACTAAATCAATTGTAAATCAAAATTGGTAGCGTTCAATGACAATAGAAAGCTGCACCATTATCTCATGCTGCTTAAAGAGGCCCTAAAGCTATTCTAGCATACTTTATAGTCAAGGGGACTGGAGCTTTTAACCTGTACTGTCGCTAGCGACTCGTTGCTGATGGGATAATTTACCAAATTTCTAATCCAGTAATTGTCCACAAGTTATTGTTCCAAAACACTTGTGAATGCAATACGCATATACTATCAATGGATCAGGGGTTGGGGGAGGGCAAAAGCTAAAACGAGAGTTTGTACACGACTCATTTGTTTACCATACAAGGTGATACCATAAAAGGAGATTAGCTACATTTTAGAGCTTTGCACATGTCCACGCTCTTCCTCAGCGGTCAGCGCTAATCTTCAAGTTCTTTGGCATCAACCCAGTTGCCATGCAGACCCGCTCTCAATCTCAGGTTGAGTTTAACGATAGCCTGCGGGGTGGAAAAATCCCGTGTGTCTATGATGTGTAACTCGCTCGACATGGTGGCGTAGTTATCTACCAATGCCATCAAGAACCCGTCAGCTTCTGGGGCACCATCAGAGCGTGGCACAAACACTGGTTCCTGCACCATGTGTGTGGGCCCTGGGAAATACGTCTCAAGTTTTCCAGTCTCGTGATCCAGATGCCCAAGTGAATTATATAGAGGATGGCCCCCTCCAAGAACTGGCATTATGGCAGCGAAGTCCGTGGCCAGGTCAGGGGACATCATGTCGAAGAAACTATGTCGGTGGCGCGTCATTGCTACACGATCGTCGATGCGAGGAAACTCCATATCACATGGGTATATGACCTCTGGCGCCGGGAGATCAAGCGTGGGCGACTTTGGGTCAAAGGTAAAACGAACATATTTTGCATGGATCTCGCGGGGGTCAGGGGCATTGCCCTCGGCGTCTGGCCACCAGAAGAAGACATTCTTGTCCGTCAGGGGCAAATCAAACGAGATCATTCCGTCAGCAGTTTCGTACGCGTTAGTTACGTGACCAGGAAAAGCATTTGGTGCTCGGAACCACTGGGATATGGCGTAGTCAGAAACATCATTTCATGGTATCTATTCCTTGGGCAAAGCGAACTGACCTTGACGTCGCTCCCTTTGGCACCCTTCCGGGGTAAGACGCCCACGTAAAAAGGGATATTTGGGTCCCATTGCCAATGCTCTCCACCCCGCTTAAGTCGATCTATGTCGCAAATTTGCGGAATCATCGGAAACAAGACCTATCGATGAGTTAGCCTGTAATATTAAGCAGACTGAGGGAGGAATAGCAACCCAATTCTCGGTAACGCCAAAGTCGTGTATCATACCCACCACAGGGGCAATCATCCACACGACCTGAGTAAACTTGCCGTCAGGGTTGATATTGTAGTAGCAGACATCCGGAGTGCCATCCCCCCTAGCCTCGTAACCGAAGCATACTAACTCCTTGGTAGAAGGGTCGAGTTTTGGATGGGCGGTGAATGTAAGGCTCGGTAACTGGCCTTCAAAGTCACAGAGACCGATGGTTTCTAGAGTGACAGGGTCCATGGCATACGGCGGCGCATCTTCCTTGATGGCAAGGAGGACCTTGTTGAAATAGAAGATGTTTGTGTTGGCTGTTGTGCGAACTTTGAACTCGACAGCATCCGTGTACTTGTTTCGGTATTTACCTCAAGGATATGATTCAATCTTAGTCTTATGATGCCTGTGTATGGTCTCTCGAGTAGGATGATAGAGTACCAACTTACCAGCAAGAGCACGTTGTGCTTCTCTCTCGCGACTGAACTTCTCAGTCTGCACATATTTCTGCTGGAGATGGACGTGTCCATTGCTGAAAGTAAAGGCACTAATGCTCCCATCGCCATTGAACCACTGTAATATCGCCGAATTAGACCTTTACTAACTGGCTTGCATAGGGGAAGGCAAGTAGACGGAAATTCTAGTCATACCGGGTCGTTCTTGACGAAGGGAGGAAACTGTGGGTCGGGCATGACCCTATAGAACGTGCCCCGCAGCTCTTGGGGTACTGTGCCCTGTACTTCCAGGTGGCGTACCTCCCCTTCAAAGCGGCAAGGCTTCATGAAGCCAGAAAACTGGGGTAGTGTGGGGAAGGCCTTGCTGGCCGCTGGAGAGAGGCTGCCCCGGAAATGTCCGGCCATGGTGATATGATTACAAGACAGAAAAGCTAGACCGTTGAGAGGTTGGCGAAAATTGGGCAGATCTGGGGTTAGGGGGGTAAGTAAGGTTTGTCGATGCAGGAGAGGAGACCTCCTGTTTGTCTTCCCTCCACATTTATGATCGGATGTGGGCCTCCCGGCGGCAGTAGCCCGACGCTGCCCCGGCCATCGTCGTAGTCGGCTTGAGCGCATTGAGCAGAGGAGTCTCGCATGAATGGCTGACGTGGAAGTCGAATTCTTCGCGGCAATTGTGATGGTGCGAGATTCAGCAAGGGGCTTTGGTGATTCACAGTGTTTTAGCAGTCCGCGCACGCACTCTCGCGGACAGGCCGGGAGAGTCTGGCTAGATCCCCACGGGGCATGCATGGTATAACGGGTCCTAGATTTCACTAGGAGACTTTTCTAGAGACTCATCGGCTCCGTGTCTGCACGGGTAGCGTAATTAATTATTTTTTTCGTTAATTCCTACCTTCTCCTGGAAAATACCGAGTTGCATCTCTACAATTTCTGCTGACCAGACCTAGCAATGCCACGAAGCAAAAACGTACAGGAACGTGTCATGGCTGGCGCTGGACACATCGAGACTGACGCCTTGTCTGGACATCATCACGGTCTTGGCTTCTGGCCACCACCGTCAAGTGATGAGAAAGACCCTTTGCGATGGCCACGACGCGCCAAGGTCCTTGCTCTTCTTTCAATGGCCTTCTTCAACTTCGCCGCCAATTTTGCTGCAGCTGGGCTTTCTGTGGCGTCGGTTCTGCTAGGAGAGGAATTCCACAAGACTGAGCAGCAGGTTAATGCGCTTTTAACGGTGAGTAAAAAGTGACGCACCCTTCTGCTTCGCAGACTTGAGTCTGTAGTCGATAGGACGCTGATCCAACTCTTAGTACAACTTCCTCCTCCTGGGATTAGGAAACTTAGTCTGGGTACCGCTGTCGGTCAAGTTTGGCAAGCGGCCGGTTATGCTCATTTCTACGGTCACACTATTTGCCGTTCTTATTTGGACAGCTAAGGCCAAGTCTTTCAACGAACTGCTGATTGCTCGATGCATTTCAGGATTTGTCTCAGCAGCTGGAGAGGTTGGTTCCTCAAGGTTCTGATATCCCTTGACACAACTCTAGAGACTAAAGCGATTCCTTAGAGCATTCTTCCTGGCATCGTCTCGGACATGTTCTTCTTGCACGAGCGGGGACTGATGATGTCGATGTACGTGTGTGCAAAATATGATACCAGAACCAATAGAATCTAGTATGCTGACAAGTCTTTTAAAACTTAGATATGTCATCTTAATCTCATCCGGAACAGCGGTCGGTCCACTTGTCGGAGGGTTCATTGTCCAAGGTGGCCCGGGCAAATGGCGCGACTTTGTATGGCTGTGTGCGGCTCTCGCAGGCATTGACCTTCTCGGGATTTTCTTCCTGTACCCCGAATCCTCGTTCACACGTCCACCTGTGTCGGCGACTCCATTGTCTAGCACCAAAGATGTGGGCCACAAGAGCACTGATGAGGCGGTAGGAACTTGTGATGTGATCGAAAACCCCTCTCACACTGGTCAGAACACTCATCAATACAGCTGGGTCGTTGAACTGTCTTACCCTAAGGTCTGGACATCCTTCTATCGGGTGAATCCCCTGGTCAATTTGACCAAGGCTTTCATCCTACCGGTTCTATTCCTCTTGTCCGTCCCGGTCGTCTGGACAGTATTTCTCTACGGCGGCTCCCTCGCTAGCCAAATAATTATGATGTATGATAAACCTTGGCGTTTTCTTTCATTTCTTTCTTATGTCTGCTCCAGCTTGATGTCCGTCTTGCCGGTCCTTTAGTCTTCGTGACGTGTGAGCTAACGAAAGAATGTCTTGTCCAGATTCGCTTTCCCCTCCCTCCTACTCGCTCCACCTTACCAATTTGCATCCAGCAGCGTCGGCTTGATGCAAATTGCTGCTCTCATAGGGTTTGTGATTGCATGGTACGGCGGTGGCTATGTGAGTGATGAAATCACCGCGCGCTTAATTATTCGCAATCATGGGAATTTCGTACCAGAGCAGCGTCTGATATCACTCATCCCGGGTTGCATATTTGCACCTGTGGGCTGCATCCTGCTTGCGCTAGCTTGTCAAAACGATCTCCACTGGGCGGTAATTGCGGTCGGTTTTGGTTTGGGTGAGTTATCACATCTTCAACGCAAACACGCCTCGTTACATGAAGCTCACAATTCTTCCTCACCAGTTTCATTCGGCACGGTATATTCTCCGAACATCGCAATGACCTATCTCCTTGATTGCTATCCGGCATTCGCGCAGGAGATTTTGGTTGCGGTCAACGTCATCAAGAATCTTGTTGCCTTCCTCTTTGTCTATGTTGCGGTCGATTGGGTTAACTCACAGGGCTGGATCCAGGTGTACATGATCATGTTTATGGTGGTCACGCTTGCCACCCTTTTGGCGATCCCGCTGTATTTTGTTGGTGGAAAATCGCGAAGAGCATTCGACGGTGTCATTAATCGTCTTGTCAATCGTGCAGATGCCACCTCCACTTGAGTAGCAAGCAATGCTAAGCAGCCGCCTTCAAGTACGACACTATTGAGATCAAGTCTGTATTATGACGCGAGCAAAGTCAGAATTTTACACAGGTTGGGAATGATACTGGAGATGGGTGTTTTGAGCATGTCAGTCAATCAAGAATCAACACTAGCTATTTTGCAGCGGCGTAAACAATCAAGTGTGTTCAGTATCAGTAACAAGAGAGAGAAAAGTGTTACAGCGCATGAACAGTGGCATTGTAGCAAGCCTGTCTCCGACACTGTGAAACTAGGCAAGGTCACCTTAGATGATCGAGAGCCTACAAACAAACGCCGCAACTTTTCGGCCTCCATCCCTTTAGAGGCGGGATTCTTGCACAGTGAAAACATAGCAAGTTACCATACAACATAAAACTAAACAATACCGTTCCTCAAAAAGTAGCCTCTGATAGCGAAGCCCGGCATTCCTCCTCGTCATGGCCAGCAATTGCAGCTGCCGTCAGGGCATGGATAGGCTAGGGCTGGATTTCTCGCAACTGAATTTCGATATGAACAGAGTCGGCCAGGAAAGCGGATATTCTGCCGCTTGATCATTATGCTCCATCCTTCTTGCCATCCCACCGAGTTGGGGCCATCATTCGACCAAAAAAACTAAAGCTGGGAGATGGTTGGGGCTACAGCAGAGGGGAAGTAGCCCCGAGGCAAGGTCCCCACCCCCGGACTGCGGGGCCCCATCCGCCTGGATTCCGACCCGACGCTTCCCCGGCCAGCCAGTGGCATAAGATAAGCGCCTAGCTACATGTATAGCTACGTGTATAAGTTCGAGTATGAGAGGGCAGGCTAGTAACAATTGACAGACAACGGCTCTTCTCGTAATATCAAAGCTTGAAATGAATCATGGCGTTATTGGAAGCCTCCAACATCAACGGCTCGAGTCGGACAGGCGGCGAGAGAATGGACGTGGTTGATGCCCATAGAGGCCCCTGCATTCCTCTCCTTATCAATGGCATATCCGTGGTCGACGAAACGGGTGCCAGACAGCAGGCAATGCCAAAAGGCGGTCTCTTTCAAGGCGCCACCATTTCAAATTGTCAGGAGGCCATGGCGAGCAGCAGCGCAGCTTTCAAAGAGTGGTCTCAAACGTCCCCGTTTCGTCGGCGGCAGTTGCTATTGAATTTGGCCGAAGTGAGTAAGACACCTTGGAAATCCGTCATAGACAACACGTATAACAAGAAATTTCCGTAGCTTGTCCGACAGCAGGGAGACATTGTCAAGCAGATCATACAAGAGGAGATCTACTGCTCTGAGGAATGGAGTAATATCAACTTGTTGGACAGCATTGGCATGATCGAAGAAGCGGCAGCTCGACTCACATCAAAATCATTGAGCGGCGAGATCGCCCACTCTGCATCTAGTGACTCTTGCGCACTGGTTTTTACTCGTCCGCTAGGGGTGATTCTTGGAATAGCGCCGTGGAACAGCCCCTTAATTCTTGGTTTTCGAGCAGTACTTGCCCCAGTGGCAGCGGGTAATACTGCAATTCTGAAAGTAAGAGATCTGACAAGACTGTAATTGATGAAACCATACTTACGATGAGATCCAGGGCTCTGAGTTGAGTCCTAGGACACACTATTTCATTGCGAAGCTATTCCTTGACTCTGGATTTCCGCCTGGAGTCGTCAACCTTATCTTTCACCGATCAGAGGACGCGCCCGAGATTATCGAACATCTAATAAAGGGCCCTGCTATAAGAAAGGTGAATTTCACGGGTTCAACTGCCGTCGGCCGCATCATTGCCAGGAAAGCTGGTGAAGCTTTAAAGCCTGTCCTTTTAGAATTAGGTGGTAAAAATTGCTCAGTCATTTGCGAGGATGCAGATGTTGCGAAAGCAGCCAAGCTAGTCGTCCAAGGAGCCACGTTATATGTAAGTTGATAACCAATTGCCAGTTCAAATACTCTTTATGATATCCAGCAGGATGCTTACCCTGCAAACTACAATTCAGGCTGGCCAGATCTGCATGTCCACGGAGCTCGTTATAGTCGTGGAGAAGGTAGCAGATAAGTTCAGAGCCGAACTCCAGAAAGCAGCAAGCAAACTTTGTGATACACCATACAAGCTCATCAGCCCCCAAAGCGCATTGCGTCTTCGCAAGCTCGCAGCAGACGCTGCGTCGAAAGACGGAAAGATAACGTCTGCTCCAATGCCCGAAGAAATCGAGCATGAGGGAGATTCTGTCCCTTTCCAGATTATAGAGGATGTTCGGCCGGCAATGGATTTCTTTCTACAGGAATCTTTTGGACCCATGCTGGGTGTGATGGAAGTGTCAACCGAGGAAGAAGCCATTGAATTCATCAACAGTTCCGACTACGGTCTCTCATCTGCTATTTGGACACGGGATCACTACCGAGCCCTAAGGCTGGCTCGGAAGCTTGATGTAAGTGCCATTCACATCAATGGGTCAAC